AAGTCTCTAAAAGCTTTGCACACCTGGATTGTACAATATTTTCACATTATTCTTTAACAAACTCTTCAATCTCTATCAAGTTGGTTGGTGATCATCGCTAGACAGCCATTTGCAAGTCTTGCCATAGATTTTTAAGCCGATTTAAGTCAAAACTGTAACTAGGCCACTCAGGAATATTCAATGTCGTCTTGGTAAGCAACTCCAGTTCATATTTGGCCTTCTGTTTTAGGTTATTGTCCTGCTGAAAGGTGAATTTGTCTCCCAGTGTCTGTTGGAAACCAGACTGAACTAGATTTTCCTCTGTTTATTTGAATAAATAAATAAAAAACTCCCTAGTCCTTGCCGATGACAAGAATACACATTACATGATGCAGCCACCACCATGTTTGAAAATATGAAGAGTGGTTCTCAGTGAATAGTTTGCCCCAAACATAACACTTTGTATTCAGGACATAAAATTAATTTCTTTGCCACATTTTTTATAGTCTTACTTTAGTGCTTTATTGCAAAAAGGATGCATGTTTTGGAATATGTTTTATTCTATACAGGCTTCCTTCTTTCACCCTGTCATTTATGTTAGTTTTGTGGAGTAACTACAATTTTGATCCATCCTCAGTTTTCTCCTATGACAGCCATTAAACTCTGTACCTGTTTTAAAGTCACCATTAGCCTCATGGTGAAATCCCTGAGCAGTTTCCTTCCTCTCCTTCAACTGATTTAGGAAAGACACTTGTATCTTTGTAGTGACTGGGTGTATTGATACACCATCCAAAGTGTAATTAATAACTTCACCATGGTCAAAGGGATATTTCATATCTGCTTTTTTTATTTTACCCATTTACCAATGTCCCTTCTTTGCGAGGCATTGGAAAACTTCCCTGGTCTTTGTGGTTGAATCTGTGTTTGAAATTCACTGCTCGACTGAGGGACCTTAGAGATAATTGTATGTGTGGTGTACAGAGATGAGGTAGTCATTCAAAAAAAAATTGGGACTGACCAATGTAGATATTTTCAAATTCATGCAACTTAAATGCTTAATATCACGAAATTTCGATTTGAAATCATTTGGACATCGGAGCAATCTTGAGGGAATCCTTTTTGAGTCAGAAAAGGATATTCATATGATAGGTAAGACCTTGCAGAGAGCCTATGCAACTGACAATCTCTTAGAAACAAATATAAACTATTGGAACCAAGCCCTAAAAAGAACGGATATTGGCACAAGATGGAGGGAATGTTGGAACATACAGTAACTAACAAAATTACAGTTAACAAAAATGTACACTTAATCCAATATAAACATATATATTTAACTTATTGTACAAGAGACAAAATTCACAAATTCTACAGCAGAATGGTAGTCATGTCTTAAGTGTACTGATGTTGTGTCTTCGTGGCCAGAATGATGAAGGAAAGGCTGGTTACCTTCTAGAGTGTCTGAGGAATAAATAGGAACCTAACTTGACTGGTGAAACAAGGTTTCGCGTTTCGATTTTCACAGATATATTTCTTTGCAAGTTGAACGAGTGGGAATACAACATGGATCATGTTAGGATATAAACATTGATTTTATCAACAAAAAACTACACTGTATTTTATCTGTGGGAACCCCAGGATGACAAATCAGAGCAAGATTACTGAATGTAAGTACATTATTTACCTTCAGAGCTGAATGTATCAAACCAGTTGCCTTGAGAAGTGTTTTGTTGTTGTGCACATCTTCAAACAATAGCATGGTATTTTTTGCTGTAATACCTACTGTAAATTGGACACTGCAGTTGGATTAACAATAATTGAAGCTTTCTGCCCATATAAGATATGTCTATGCTCGGGAAAGTTTGCTTTTGTATACAACGTCCTCCTAGTCACATTGTCCGTATTGAGCAAGAACTGTCCCGATTTCGGGACACCGATCCAGTAGAGGTTAAATCGTTTTTTCCCCTCGTCAATCTACATACAATACCCCATAAAGACAAAGCAAATACACGTTTTAGAAATTTTTGCAAATGTATAAAAAATAAACTGAAATATCACATTTACAGAAGTATTCAGACCCTTTACTCAGTGCTTTGTTGAAGCACCTTTGGCAGCGATTACAGCCTTGAGTCTTCTTGGGTATGACGCTATAAGCTTGGCACACCTGTATTTGGGGAGTTTCTCCCATTCTTCTCTGCAGATCCTCTCAAGCTCTGTCAGGTTGGATGGGAAGCATCGCTGCACAGCTATCTCCAGGTCTCTCCAGAGAGGTTTGATTGGGTTCAAGTCCGGGCTCTGGCTGGGCGAGTGGCGCAGTGGTCTAAGGCACTGCATCGCAGTGCTAGCTGTACCACTAGAGATCCTGGTTCGAATCCAGGCTCTGTCGTAGCCGGCCGCGACCGGGAGACCCATGGGGCGGCGCACAATTGGCCCAGGGTAGGGGAGGGAATGGCCGGCAGGGATGTAGCTCAGTTGGTAGAACATGGCGTTTGCAACGCCAGGTTTGTGGGTTCGATTCCCACGGGGGGCCAGTATGAAAAATTAAAAATACATTATTATGTATTTGGATAAGAGCGTCTGCTAAATGACTAAAAAATGTTTTTTTTTAAACATCTGAGACTTGTCCCAAAGCCACTCCTGCATTATCTTGGCTGTGTGCTTAGAGTCATTGACCTGTTGGAAGGTGAACCTTCACCCCAGTCTGAGGTCCTGAGCGCTCTGGAGCAGGTTTACATCAAGGATCTCTCTGTACTTTTCTCCGTTCATCTTTCCCTCGATCCTGACTAGTCTCCCAGTCCCTGCTTCAACGTAGGGATGGTGCCAGGTTTCCTCCAGATGTGACACTTGGCATTCAGGCCAAAGAGTTCAATCATGGTTTCATCAGACCAGATAATCTTGTTTCTCATGGTCTGAGAGTCCTTTAGGTGCTTTTGGCAAACTCCAAGCAGGCTGTCATGTGCCTTTTACTGAGGAGTGGCTTCCGTCTGGCCACTCTACCATAAAGGCCTGATTGGTGGACTGCTGCGGAGATGGTTGTCTTTCAGAAATATTCTCCCATCTCCACAGAGGAACTCTAGAGCTTTGTCAGAGTGACCATCGGGTTCTTGGTCACCTCCCTGACCAAGGCCCTTCTCCCCCGATTGCTCAGTCTGGCCGGGCGGCCAGCTCTAGGAAGAGTCTTGGTGGTTCCAAACTTCTTCCATTTAAGAATGATGGAGGCCACTGTGTCCTTGGGGACCTTCAATGCTGCAGACATTTTTTGGTACCCTTCCCCAGATCTGTGCCTCGACACAATCCTGTCTCAGAGCTCTACGGACAATTCCTTCAATCTCATGGCTTGGTTTCTGCTCTGACATGCATTGTCAACTGTGGGACCTTATATAGACAGGTGTGTGCCTTTCCAAATCATGTCCAATCGATTGAATTTACCGCAGGTGGACTCCAATCAAGTTGTAGAAACATCGATGATCAATGGAAACAGGATGCACCTGAGAAAAATTTTGAGTCTCATATCAAAGGGTCTGAATACTTAAGTAAATAAGGTATTTCTGTTTTTATTTTTAACACATTTGAAAAAAAATCTAAAAACCTGTTTTTGCTTCGTCATTTTGTGGTATTGTGTTTAGATTGATGAGGGAATAAAATATTGAATCAATTTTAGAATAAGGCTGTAAAGTAACATAATGTGGAAAAAGGGAAGGGTTCTGAATACTTCCCGAATGCACTGTATGCCTATGCATGGCTTAACCATAACAATTATGCCAAATGTAACTACCAATATTTGTATTCCATTTAAGTATGTATAATAAAGGAGCTGGCCAGGAAGCAGGGGGCTCTCCTGTCCCAGCAGGCACTGGGAGGTCAAGACTGACCACGAGAAGATAGAGCTTAACCAGCGGAGGAAGAAAGAAGTGGAGGTAAGTTCTCGATTCAAATGTGCGTGTGTGTAAAAACAGAAAACAGGTAGATGGATAGAAAGCAAAATATTGATTGAGAGAAGCATTTACGGTATGAGGATATCCTCACCCTGTGCTGTGGCCTTTCAATGAGTTGTAGTGGCGTTTGTGTTGGTATTGAAATGTTCTGTGGATGTATTGTTTTGTGGATGTAGGGAAGCATGAAGCACAGCCAGACTCAGCTGGAGGACTTCACCAGGAGAGCAGACAAACTGGAGGAGTTCACCAACACCTGCAAAATGTCTATCTTAGCCTAACCTTTGCATGAATTGCCAAGTAAAGCTGTAGAGTAATGTGTCCTCCGAAGAGGGGAGGTGATGGATGGGTTAATAAAAAAAAAAAAAAAAAAAAAAAGTAAAGCTGTTATTGTGTAGCTTCTAGTAAATACCAGGTTAGTAGCGGGCTGTAAAATAAAGTGTTACCACAATAACTACTCGTGTATGTGGAAAGAGGGAGAGGTAAAAAGCGACAAACTGCATGTGTTGTGTTCGTCTGCTGAGCTGATCGTGGACTATAGGAAAAGGAGGGCCGAACAGGCCCCCGTTAACATCGACTGGGCTGAAGTGGAGCGGGTCGAGAGTTTCAAGTTCCTTGGTGTCCACATCACCAACGAACTATCATGGTCCAAACACACTAAGACAGTTGTGAAGAGGGCACGACAGCACCTTTTCCCCTCAGGAAACTGAAAAGATTGTACAGCTGCACCATCGAGAGCATCCTGACCGGTTGCATCACCGCCTGGTTGGCAACTGCTCGGCATCTGACCATAAGGCGCTACAGAGGGTAGTGCGTACAGCCAGTACATCACTGGGGCCAAGCTTCCTGACATCCAGGACCTATATAGTAGGCGGTGTCAGAGGAAGGCCCAAAAAATTGTCAAAGACTGCAGTCACCCAAGTCATAGACCGTTCTCTCTGCTACCGCACGGCAAGCGGTACCGGAGCGCCAAGTCTAGGACCAAAGGCTCCTTAACAGCTTCTACCCCCAAGCCATAAGAATGCTGAACAAATACATTGACCCCCCCCCCCCACTTTGTTTTACACTGCTGCTACTCACTGTTTATTATCTATGCATAGTCACTTTACAAATTACCTCGACCAACCTGTCAGGAGACTCTACCCAGACACACTGGTGTGACATCACTGTATCACTGCCACCAACACTTCATTAGATCAAATTGGGTATACATATCATCTTCCATAGTGTAACCCCCGACCCCGGAGTCATTTGAACATATGCACTTTGAGGGATTTCCTTGGTACAGAATCTTGCAAGATCTTGTACGATCCTGGTACTAGTATCCGGCAAGATCTTTCTAAGGATGTTGTAGGATCTTCCAAGATCTTTGACCCTGGGTAAGATTTCTGACAGGGTGTGTTTGTTCCTCTCCTTCCCAGTTTGGTCGTCTGGTGGACCTGTGCAACCCCATCTACAAAAAGTATCAGCTGGCCGTCACCAAGGTGTTTGGGCGCTACAGGAATGCCATTGTGGTGTCTTCAGAGAAGGTGGCCAGAAACTGCATCCGCTCCGTCAAGGAGAAGAGGGCCGAGCCAGAGACCTTCCTACCCATAAACTACCTGGACGTGAGTAAGTGGACACAGAAAGAGAGATTGTTTATAGGCCCACTCCTTCATTTGAAAACCCCAAAAACCAGCAGCTCCACTAAGTTTGCTATGAAGCTGAGGGACGGTCCTGGAGAAATGTAACCAGAACTACCTACACCTAACAACAGAGGCTTTGATTAACACACACACACACCTCACTGAGCCTGTCCTCTCTCCCTGTCCCTCCCCAGATGAGCCCACTGAATGAATGTCTGCGGGAGGTAGGTGGAGCAAAGATAATGGTGGACGTGGCGCAGTGTTCCCCCACCGCCCCCCATCTGAAGAAGGTCTTCCAGTTTGTGTGTGGTCATCCAGTTTGTGTGATACTTAAAGAGGCCCGAGCCATCACCTTCGACGGGCCTGAAAGACTCAAGGTGACTTAGTCAGCCAGTCAGTCAGTCAGTCATTCAGCTTGCTTGAGGGCTTCAGTTTGAGCAGGGCGACGATGCAGATCTCCCTAATCTTGATCACATAATGAAAAGTTATTTGGGATGCAAAGTGACATGTAGGTCAGTGATTCTATGCAGTCGGACTGCAATGTAGTCAATCTCAAACACGCACAATTAGTCAGCCAGCCAGTAAGTGTTACCCCCATCCACTTCACTTATGGTTGCACCCACTGCTACTTGTAGTCCTGGTAGCAACCTTAATTGTTCAATACAGACGGTGGCTCTGGACGGTACCATGTTCTCCAAGTCGGGGGTGATCTCTGGGGGCTCCACCTACGTGCAGAGCAAGGCCTGGCGCTGGGACGAGAAGGACATGACCAAGCTGAAGGAGCTCAAATAACAGCCTACTGCAGAGCTACGCGTGAGTCTGCACACAGTCACACATGTTCAGCAAGGTTGACATAAAAACATATATAATAGAGTAAAATACTGTAGTGTGATATTGTGCATGAGTAGAAGGCACTTCATTTTTTTGGGTATCTGAATTATTAATCGCTAAACTACTCATTCTCTATGCCGCGAAGAGTATAATTTTTGTGATCAACCTTGGAGGGGAGGAGGTGGGGAAAAATATCTAGACTTTTTGTAACTTTCTTAACCCTTGTTTTTCCAGTTCATGTGTCACGTGACAGGGTCTAGAGAAGCTGAAGCGTAAGGAGTCGGAGCTGAAACAGATCCAGTCTCAGGCCCAGGAGGTTCTGACCTGTTTGAAGTGCTCCCACACTGAACTGAACACCCTCCGCAAGAAGAGCATCCCCAACTGCCACGCTGTAAACTAACTTAACACTTACTGACGCTAACCACATACCACAACTTCTACTGTCCACACAACTGTAACTAACCACACTGTATGCATCGTCACCACCGCTGTTACTGTCAGAATGGAATAACCTCCTAAGATCAACCATCTTTGTCAGGTTTGAAAATAACTTCTGGTTGGAGAATTCCCAGAATCAGGAGGGAATAAGCAGGAAGGACATTCTCTCAACGGGGCATCCTCCATCCAGTATTTCTGAAAAAATATTGATATTTTGCAACCCTAGTTATAATCAGACATTAATTGAATGTGTGTCACTCCCTGCTGGAGATATCTCCCCTGCAGGCTGAGCTGGCCAATGTGGAGACTCAGAAGGAGATGCAGAAGGAGAACATGGAGGTGAAGGAGCTGGAGTTGAAGAAGCTCAAGACAGATCAACCAGGTCAGGACTTACTGCTACCAAGACTATTTAGAATGATGTCTAAATCAAGGCAGACACCTATTATTGGTGGCATAGCTAACACAAACACAACCAAGTATTTATAATATGGCACTGCCATAGAGTAGGAAAGTTCTGCCTACTATGTCTATGGGACCAGGTTAGTAGTCATGTTGTTGTTATTATTCTGTGTTAAGATGGATGATGTGGTGTTCTCAGACTTCTGTGCTGAGATAGGAGTGGCCAACAGAGAGTACGAGCAGCAGCATCTCAAACAGCAGCAGGACGTCGACAGGAAACGGTACTGGACTGGACCTCAGTTTATCCATCTCCCCATATAGCATACATATATGGTCTATGGAACGATGATGCTAACAAGTTTATATGCAACACTGTACCTCTTGTCCTGTTTCTCTCAGCTAACTACAAGGCAGTTTGATTGTATGCTTATTATAGCATACTTGTTCTTATACGATGTATATTGTTGGCAAATATTATTTAAAGATTCTCGCCATCTCCCCCTCTCCCTCATCTTTTTCTGTCACTGCCTGAATCTAATCACCCCCCCCCCCCCCCCCCCCTCTTTTCCCTCCCCCTCTCCCAGGGAGTTTGAGTCTCAGCGGACCCATCTGAAAGCTCAGTTGGAGTACGAACAGGGTCAGCTGGAGCAGCAGAGGAAGAAGATGAGGAAACCGTCACCAAGGAGCAGAGCAGAGTGGAAGGGCAGAAAAAGGCAAAACACACCTTTTCTCCTCCAGTCTCTCCCTTTCTCCACTTCCCGCTCATGTTATATCCGTACTTCCTTCCTTCCTTCCTTCCTTCCTTCCTTCCTTCCTTCCTTCCTTCCTTCCTTCCTTCCTTCCTTCCTTCCTTCCTTCCTTCCTTCCTTCCTTCCTTCCTATCTCCACATCAGCTTCTCAAGTCTTCCTCTAAAACCACACTGAATGTAATCACCCTGTTGTGTTGTTCTCTTTTGTCTCCACTAGGAGGAGGAGAAGCTGCTGGTGGTGGTGGAGGAGGAGAGACAGTTTAAAGTGTTGGATCTGAAGAACAGGTTGCTGGGGAAGAAGACCCAGGCCGCTGAATCCAAGGCCCAGGTGGACCTTCAGAAGAGTTCCAGGTACTGCAAATCAATGAATTAATCAACCTATCAATCAAATGTATAGATATATATGTATTTTTTTTTTTACAGTAACTAGGTACAGCAACTGGCTGTTCTACTGCTCATTGCCCTCTCTCTCCATTTCTCTTAATTCCGGTCGGTCTCCTTTTCGCTTCCCTACCTCTCTTATCTTTCACTCCACCTTCTTCTCTTCTCCCCTCTGTCAGAGAGCTGATGAAGCTGCAGAGGGAGGTGATCTCAGCAGATACAGCACTGGAGCAGTTGAGGATCTGGAAACAACCTGCTGCTGGGCTGTAAGATCCAGTGCCTGCCCATCACTCTGCTGTCTGGCAGCATGGACGAGATCTGCGAGGTGCAGGTAGGACAGCACAGAAACGGAGGGAGGGAGACAGAGGTAGAGAGAGAGACAACAGGGCTGTGTTGAAGTTCTCCATTCTTGTTTTTTTGTGTGTTATTTTTGTGCTGAATGTGTATTGTATTTACATTTGTTTTTCCACAGTGCCAATGTTCTCATGCGTGTAAGACAAATTCCCTCTCAAGGGCAAAGAAAGTTCTATCTCTATGTCTGATTGACTGCTCTGGTCTTGGTAGCTGGACTCAGTCACTCACAGAGAGCACCTGCACCACTATGGACATCTATGAGAGAGGCTCTGATGGTCATAGACTACTCTGGCCTGGGAGTAGAGCTGAAGGTAGACCTCATTAAAGAGACAGTCTCCTCTCTAGAGGGGGTCCTACAGCATTCCATAGCACCCAACCTCAAAGACCTGGAGAAGATGAGGGAGGTCAAAGACAAGTTCCAGGGGGCGGTGGACAGTACGAAGCACTGTATAGAACAGCAGACACACACCTCAATACACACACTGTATAGAGCAGAAACACACACAAACACGCTTCAATGCACAAATGCTGTCGCTTACCTTGTCTTGGTGGGTGTATTGTGGTAACCCACCTATGTAGAGTTGTTTGCTAAAAAGGTTGCTAAAAAATATAGTTTTTAAAGAGAGGCTGAACAGACTGATTTAGCCTGGGTTTCAATCCTTATTAGGAAATGCAACTGAGAACGAGATTTGGGTCTTGGAGGCGTGCTTTGATGTGTGTGTCTTCTGTGTTTGTTTGCACGTAGGAAGCATTTTTACATTCACTCTGTCAAAACAGTACACAGTTAGTCACTCACCTTTCTAGATAATTTGAAACAGTCTAACCAGGTTTTGTGTATGGAAGTAGCCTAGGCAAGCTAGCAAGCTAGCCAACTTCGTTCGCCAACTAGAGTCGGCCGGTGTGCGACCGTGGCAAACTTGGTTTGACTTTGGATAGCCTATCTGTGGGGCTAGTTAAAGATCGTCAATAAATGTAAATGGGCCAATATTTTTATCTTGCACACCTTTTAGTTCTCATTAAATGCTTTCAATATTTGTATATGAATTTCTACAATTTAGTTGGTTTTAGGTTTTTAAGTCATTGAAATTTGGAGTTATTGAAAAAATTATTTTTGTTCCCATGTACATTGTGTAATTTACTGATGGTCCCTAAACAGCCCCATAGGGATATCTAAAGTCAAAACAAATTTACCACGGTCAGTGTGGACATAACAATCGGGTTGCGTGCAGCTGGGCTACGAATTGATGATTACTTGGGTGCTGCCAGCAGTGGGCATGTGGGCAGGATTGAAATAAAACCAACCCAAGGAAAACTGTTACGTACCCTAGATTCCTTACATCCGGCAAATCTCAGTTTTGGACGATACTGACTTTATGACCAAAATGATCCTATTTACACTTTGTAGTCAATTTTGACAATAGAATAAATGTTTCTGACTCGTATCGATACAACAGGCCGTTTTCAACCAGAGAAGTTGGTTATGTGGTTCAGTCGTTCTTTAAAACCCTGCATTACAGGTTTTTGTGGCAAACTGTCAAGGCACTAGAGCGGCATGCATTGCAGCATTTGTTCTCCCAATACCACAGCGTGACCTAACTTTTTAGTTCCTGCAACTTCGTGTGTGTATGGTTGAATGCTGTTCATCTGATTGCCTCTGTCCCCCTCTCTTTGTGACAGCGTTTGATGCCAGCACCAAGGCAGCCAGAAGGAGTAACCAGGAGTTTGAGCAGGTCAAAGCTAAACGCTTCAGACTCTTACATTTACATTTTAGTCATTTAGCAGACGCTCTTATCCAGAGCGACTTACAGTTAGTGAGTGCATACATTTTCATACTGGCCCCCCGTGTGAAACGAACCCACAACCCTGGCGTTGCAAGCGCCATGCTCTACCAACTGAGCTACAGGGGACTCTTCAGCCCATGCTGGTTTGGCGGAGTGAGAGCTGAAGGCGGAGTGAGATGGCGGAGTAGTGCAGTTGTGTTTTTATCGTATGTCTGTAAATGTCTGTAAATAGCCTGTAAATACCCTATTTTTCGTACATATTTCCCTATCAGACTTTTCATCCTTCTACAAGATATACTTTCCTGCAACCCGCCTCACTCAATGTGGAACGGATTCTATTATTGACTTACCTTTATCTAGAATCTAGAATCTCCAGTTGAAACTAGCTAACGGATTCTATTATTGACTTACCTTTATCTAGAATCTAGAATCTCCAGTTGAAACTGGGGCGGCAGGTAGCTTAGTGGTTAAGAGCGTTGTGCCAGTAACCGAAAGGTCGCTGGTTCTAATCCCCGAGCCGACTAGGTGAAAAATCTGTCGATGTGCCCTTGAGCAAGGCACTTAACCCTAATTGCTCCTGTAAGTCGCTCTGGATAAGAGCGTCTGCTAAATGACGTAAATGTAAATGTAAATGTAAATGTAGCTAGCCAGCTAACTAGCTACTTGCTATTAGCCACAGCTAGCGGTGTTTCACCCAGAACATTGGATTTTTTTCTGCGGGATTAATTTTAATCACTGGACATTGATCACCGGATATTCGGCCAGTCTGCACAGCGCGTTATCGACCCAGAACATATCAGTTTTTCCGCCGGAATCACTGAATCACTGGACCTTTAACTCCGGATTCGTCGCTACCAGCTAGCTACAACAAAACGGACGCTGTGGTCTGGCTAATCATCCTGAGCTAGGCCCATCTCCCGGCTATCTACCTCTCTGTCAACCGGACGGGACCACCTAGTGTTGACACGGAGCCCCGCCGATCCTACACGACTGGTCTGCCGACGAAATCGTCTGATGTGGTTACGACGTTAACCACGAAGATTCCATCCATCTGCTAGCCCTGGCCCGCTAGCACACGCTAGCCGTGGCCTCTTAGTCACTAGTACTTCACCACCGGACCTTATGATAACTCAGCTATACAGCTGATATCTGCTGGACTGTTCCTTTTTACGACCCCCCAGCCTAGCTAAACCTGCCAGCTAGCTACAACAAAACGGACGCTGTGGTCTGGCTAATCATCCTGAGCTAGGCCCATCTCCCGGCTATCTACCTCTCTGTCAACCGGACGGGACCACCTAGTGTTGACACGGAGCCCCGCCGATCCTACACGACTGGTCTGCCGACGAAATCGTCTGATGTGGTTACGACGTTAACCACGAAGATTCCATCCATCTGCTAGCCCTGGCCCGCTAGCACACGCTAGCCGTGGCCTCTTACTCACTAGTACTTCACCACCGGACCTTATGATAACTCAGCTATACAGCTGATATCTGCTGGACTGTTCCTTTTTACGGTACTACATCCTGTTTATGTTTAGCCTCAGCCCAAACATGGTTAGTTTATTGTTGTTTCGGTTATTTCTAATTGTACTATATCACTGTAGACCCCCCAGCCTAGCTAAACCTGCCTTAGATAGCTCCTTTGCCCCTCCCTCAATACACGCGGAGACCGACTCAATTGATGCCTCCAGCGATGCTATCTCTTTCATTGTTACCCAACGCTTAGGTTTACCTCCACTTTACTCATATCCTTCCATATCCTTGTCTGTACATAATGCCCTGAATCTTTTCTATAACACCCGGAAATCTGCCCCCTTTATTCTATGTACCCAACGCACTAGAAGACCAGTTCTTAAAGCCTTTAGCCGTATCCTTATTCTAGTCCTCCTCTGTTCCTCTGGTGATGTAGAGGCTAACCCAGGCCCTGCAGCCCTCAGTATCACTCCTACTCCCCAGGCGCTATCATTTGATTACTTCTGTAATCGCAAAAGTCTTGGTTTCTTGCACATAAATATCAGAAGTCTACTTCCTAAGTTTGAGTTATTCACTGCGTTAGCACACTCTGCCAACCCTGATGTTCTAGCAGTGTCTGAATCCTGGCTCAGGAAGGCCACCAAAAATTCATCCCCAACTATAACATTTTCCGTCTAGATAGAACTGCCAAAGGGGGTGGAGTTGCAATCTACTGTAGAGATAGCCTGCAGAGCTCTATCATACTATCCAGGTCTGTGCCCAAACAGTTTGAGCTTCTACTTCTAAAAATCCACCTTTCCAGAAATAAGTCTCTCACTGTTGCCGCTTGCTACAGACCCCCCTCAGCCCCCAGCTGTGCCCTGGACACCATATGTGAATTGATTGCCCCCCATTTATCCTCAGAGTTTGTACTGCTTGGTGACCTAAATTGGGATATGCTTAATACCCCAGCCATCCTACAATCCAAGCTAGATGCCCTCAACCTCACGCAAATTATCAACGAACCTACCAGGTACAACCCTAAATCCGTAAACATGGGTACCCTCATAGATATCATCCTGACTAACATACCCTCTAAATACACCTCAGCTGTCTTCAACCAGGATCTCAGCGATCACTGCCTTATTGCCTGCGTCCGTAACGGGTCCGCGGTCAAACGACCACCCCTCATCACTGTCAAACGCTCCCTAAAACACTTTAGCGAGGAGGCCTTCCTAATTGACCTGGCCCAGGTATCCTGGATGGATATAGATCTCATTCTGTCAGTAGAGGATGCCTGGTTGTTCCTTAAAAGTAATTTCCTCTCAATCTTAAATAAACATGCCCCATTCAAAAAATACAGAACTAAGAACCGATATAGCCCCTGGTTCTCCTCAGACTTGACTGCCCTTGACCAGCACAAAAACATCCTGTGGCGTACAGCATTAGCATCAAATAGCCCCCGCGATATGCAACTTTTCAGGGAAGTTAGGAACCAATATACACAAGCAGTCAGGAAAGCAAAGGCTAACTTTTTCAAACAGAAATTTGCATCCTGTAGCACTAACTCCAAAAAGTTTTGGGACACTGTAAAGTCCATGGAGAATAAGAGCACTTCCTCCCAGCTGCCCACTGCACTGAGGCTAGGAAACACTATCACCACCGATAAATCTACAATAATCGAGAATTTCAACAAGCATTTTGCTACAGCTGGCCATGCTTTCCATCTGGCTACCACTAACCCGGCCACCAACTCTGCACCCTCTGCTGCAACTTGCCCATGCCCCCCCCCGCTTATCCTTCACACAAATTCAGACAGCTGATGTTTTGAAAGCGCTGCAAAATCTGGACCCCTACAAATCAGCTGGGCTAGACAATCTGGACCCTTTCTTTCTAAAACTAGCCGCCGAAATTGTCGCTACCCCTATTACTAGTCTGTTCAACCTCTCTTTCATAACGTCTGAGATCCCCAGAGATTGGAAAGCTGCCGCGGTCATCCCCCTCTTCAAAGGGGGTGACACTCTAGATCCAAACTGCTACAGACCTATATCCATCCTGCCCTGCCTTTCGAAAGTATTCGAAAGCCAAGTTAACAAACAGATCATCGACCATTTCGAATACCACCGTACCTTCTCCGCTATGCAATCCGGTTTCCGAGCTGGTCACGGGTGCACTTCAGCCACGCTCAAGGTCCTAAACGAT